CTTTAATTTTATGTTATCCTGCAAAATTAAGGTTGAGAGCATCAAGCATTTGGGGAACATATTTATAGGGATATATGATATTTCATTGTCCATAAGGGAAACCTTGTCTAGATCTTCAGTCCATTCATCCTTCTCTAGTATCTCTGTAAAGCTCATTTCAGCTTTCACCATGAACTTACTTGGACCGGTGCTCTTAACACGCAATGCCATGTCCCTCACAACATCATGCATCTTAACACCTTCTTCATCTCCGACATAACCTTCCTCTAACAGACAATTGTTTTCAAGCCTATTTAAAATTTCATGTCCTCTATCATGCATTTCTCTTCTGCTCCGTAATTTTTCAACAAGTCCCTCACAAATCCAGTCTTCAATTAGATCTTTTCTTGGAATCACCCAATCTTCTGGATACAATGAGCAATATGAGAAACATTCTTGGATGCTTGAATTTGTTAGACGGTCATAACTGAACTTCAAACTTTTAAATATCCTGTCTTCTGAATCTCTCTCTGTACCCGCCACACAGTCACACAATTGACGTAATGCACTTCTCCACTCACGAATATCTGTTACGCCTCTCATGCTCCCAGCAATGACGACAATGGCCAATGGCAAACCAGCGCATTCTGCCACCATATCCTCCAAAATATTTTCCAAATTAGGAATTAGTAGAATGTCGTGTCCAACCTTATCTAAAAACAAGTTCAAAGACTCTTGCTGTGGAAGAGGAGGCACCTTCACTATCTGACATCTCAAGTAGTTGCATACATCAACTGATCTACTAGTAATAACAATTTTGCACCCATTTTCTATTGTTGGTTCTGGTATTCCAACTCTGTGAAGAGTAAATTTATCCCACACATCATCTAAGATCAATGCATATTTCACTGTTTTCATAATGTCCTGCAATCTAGATGCCCGCTTCAATTCATCCCTGCCTTTCGGAAGACTTTTGTTCATTTCTCTAGCAATATCACCTTGTAATTTTACAACACTGAGTGACTGTGATACTGTGACCCAGATAATCTTTGTAAACCCAGTAGCCTCATTCAGTAATTCATTATGGATGTGTTTCATAACAGTGGTTTTGCCGACTCCACCAATTCCACAAACTCCAATCATTCCAACTTCATGACTCCTCAGGTATTCCCAAATTTTTTCCTTCACATCAACCTCGCCCACCAAATTCTCTATTAGCAAACGGGTTCCAACAAGTGGGGGCCTTTCAATTACAAGACCTTCAGAGAAACTACCTCGATCATAAATTTCCCTCACATCTTGAATCTTTTGACGGACACGTCTTCCAAGGTTACCACGTGACAAGTTTGAAACATTCTGCACCTCTTCTTCAATATCTGGCATTTCAATTTCAATAACCCTCCTTGCATCGTCGAGCCATCCCTGCACTTCTTCTTTAACTTGTTTTTCCGAGTCATCCACTATCAGCAGTTCTGCTACTTTGTCATTTCTTCTGCGTTTTAGATCTGCCACTCTTTTTCTAAGATCATTCACATCATTTTGGAAGTTTATATGACAATCT